TATTTTTTTTAAAGACGTCCTGCTATCGACCTCAAAGCGGAATACCACCATTATATTTATGCCAGATAAGCCCCGATATGAATAATTTTTTTTCAAATTGTGTGACTCTAGAACAGCTTATTGTCACAGATAATGCGTATGTCGTAAGTTTCTACTTGCAAACTAATATCTAACTTCCTATGTCGGATTCGAGATGTACACTGGTAAACATAATACTGAAGAAAATGGCGATAGCTCATTTGATAACAAGACCGGTGCTGCTGCTGTCGTGCGTAACCTGAAGGCAGCTCTGAATGAGAGCACACGCCATCAATGACATGTTGTCGATATTGACAGATTCTATACGTCAATTCTACATACTGTGGAGCTGGAAGGAATTGGGGTCTACTTGATTGACACCATTATGACGGACCGGCTTGGATACCCGAAAGAAGTTAGCAGGACACGGAAGACACGACCGGCAGCAATCCCTCGCGGCACTTTACGTTTGCCCGCTCTGTTAATGTGTCACAGATGCTGGTCTTTCACTGGTGGGTCGAAAGCCGGTGCATTATGTGTACACCGGCTCGGCCATGACTACTTCTACTATCAATCGGAGCGCCAAGCAGATCGGCTCAGTCACGATAGCATGCCCCGCCGCGGTCAGCAAATATCAACGTTGGATGACTGGCGTTGGCGTGCATGATCAACTCCGCCCCCAGCTGCTCTCGCTTCAAACCTCCACCCGGTTTTCCAAGTGCTACAAAATCTTGATCTTGGGGTTCGTCGACTTAGCGCTGATGAGCGCGTGTATATCCCATAAAGAGACCGCTCAGCTTGCCAACAAGGATGACCGACGGCGAGTGGTTTGCGTCCTACAAAGCCAGCTTTTGCAGCTCAAAGCAGACGACTCTGTTGGTGTAGTGGTAACGACACCGACAAGCAATCAGAAGCGTAGGCGTGCGCCCGTTGGGTTGACGAACGGGCTGGAGCAGTCGGAGGTCTGGATGACTGTAAGTGGAGTACAAAAGAGGTCCCAGAGGTCTTGTAAGGTGTGTGAGCTGCTGAGGAGCAACCCGATGAAGACATCCTTCACTACAACCTACTTCTGTGAGCGCTGCTCCGGCGAAAACGCCAAATACTGGCTGTGTAACAAGCTGCGTCATACTTACAAGAGCGAATCGAAGACGTGCGTCAATTATTGACACGATAACTTTGACTGTGGCCAAATCATTCCTGTGTCTCTAGACAAGAATATCATCCTGCGCCGCATTGGTTAGAAGTCGGGTGAGCAAAAAATGACGCGACGGGAAGTATAGCTCCACGGCGACGATGCTGATGATGAAGAAACGGGAAACGGAGACGGCAATGACGGGGAATAGTACTGCCTGTGCCGCAGGCTGTGGAGCCAGCACGATGAGCTGACACGCAAGCTTTGTTGAGTGCTAGGTGCTAACGTAAGTTTTGTTAATTTAATTTTTTTGTGTGTCCTCTTTTACTGTGTGTTTGGATTCGCTGTGCCACCCTTTTGGTCGATTCTGCTGCCTGCCGGGGTAATCTACGCCATATAGGAGAGGAATGTCGCGAGATATGTAGTAAAAGTGACGACACTCCTAAAACAAAACCTGTTAAGATATTATGCTGTTTCCCACAGGCGGCTATGTACGTCATACATATATTCAGAGAAAAGCTTCGTCGTAATATACGAAATAAAAGTACCGTAATTATCGTGTTTGGAGGCCCAAACTTGGGTAAGGAAGGGGTTAACTGAAAAGTCCACTTTCAACGGCATCCAGCACCATGCTTCTCGCATGATTCGGCGCGCCGCCTTTCTCACCGCTTTGGCTACACGTTTCACGGCAGTCTCTTTAGCTTGTATTCGCGTTTGACGGCGAAGTATCGTGAAAGGGAGATCATTGCCTTTTTCTTGAGCGCTGATGCCAGCGATTTGGAGTTCGTTTTCCAGGGCTTGGTCTTTAAGCTCCATCAGGAATATGTTTGACGGTATCAATACCCACCCGGTGGTTTGGTACTTTTGCGACTGACGCTTGGCCGGTACGTTTCACTCGAAGGTTTGATATTCGAGCTATCACAACATGCAACACTCGGCCTGGAAGCCGCAGCTATCGAACGGTCTTTTTGATCTTTTCGGCAAAAAAATCGAATTTCGGTTCAAAATGTTTTTTTACGGGTTTTTGTGTTTTTTTTTGTCAACGTTGCCATTTCACCATGATCCTTCGGAACTCGTCGCAAGTGGACTAAATGACTGGCTAACCAAGCTTGGTTGTGCCTTTGGTTCTTGCCTTTCGCGCTGGGCATCTCCAATTCTTCAATCAATGGGTCGGGTACGCAAAGAAGGTGTGTGGTCTCATTTAACGGATCATCCCAAGGGGAAGTATAAGACTCGGCGAGTGAAGTGTAATCACTGCACTACGACCATGTCTGCGATGGTGAAACATATGCAGCGCCATATCATCAGCTGCGAGAAGATATCGCGTGGGTGGGGGCGCATGCTACTTGAAGACAACGTTTTGGTGGAGGATTTGGAGCGTCAGTCAGAAGGAGCTCAAGCTTTGCGATCTATATAAGAGAATAACGACACATTCTCTCCCCCAACGTAGACGACGATTAAAGAGCTGAGACCGGGTGCAGCAGCGCTGGAGATGGAGCAGAAACGCAAGCAGGGGTAACAACGAGTATTACCCCAAAAAAAACATGACGGCAAAAATAAGCAAAAAAATCGGTTTATTATATGTTCTTTTTTAAGTATAAAAAAACAACCTATCTATAGCCGCAGCGTCGTCTGCGGTAGGGATACCAAAATTACAATTCTTAGATTAAAATATCTTCAAGACTTTAAAAAATTATAAATCAATTATTTAAATTTTTGAGGCAACACAACAAAATTAGTATATTAGTGTTCACTATCATAATAGCTATGCTTGTAAGTTTGTAAGCCATAGCTTGAAGGTAGTATATGGGGAGTATGGATCGCCCGAGTACCCACCGCAATACCTTACTAGTACGGTCAATGCAGTGCTTCCACAAGAAAAGGGAGCTGTGGAGCTGCCGAGATATCTGTGCATACGACTGACACTAGTATTTTTGCTAGTGAAGTAGAATACCAAACCTATTTTTGTTAATTTTGCCAGACCAAAAATTAATCATTACAATGAAAAATTTGACCTTTTTTTAGTGACTATTAGTTCGGGAGCCCTAGTCCGCGGTGACAGCTGTAGGAATGAAGCTAAGGAAGCTTGTTTATCTTCAAATGATAGGTGCTTCATTGCCCTTGACAGGCGTGTCACGTAAATGTCTTTACAGCAGTCACTACGTTATAAAGCACAGCACCAAGTAGCTCCCGCAGAGCTTACCAAGCCTGCGACCACACTGCATTGCATTTCTCGCATGTAGATCTAATTACTGTTTTTTAATCCGAATCTTCGATCAGCTTCTTCAAATCAAAACCCGCCCTCTTGGAGGACTTTTGCATTTCGATAATAAACCTCTTCGTTAGTTGTGCTGATAGATTGTACAAGTCATGGTGACTGTATGAGGCGATATCGCTGTTTTAAGTTTAGCAAGTATGAAACACTGATTAGCACGAAGATAAGAAGACGATACAAACGGATAGATGGTGGTTGTATGGATCGTTTAGGTTGCCCCTTTGTTAATTCTAAGCCGGCTGATGGACTGCCTTCTCTGTTTCCTTGTCGGGGCGTTGCAAACAGTCGAGTACTTGTCAGGCAGGCCTAACGTGGCCAATTTGTCTCATGTCGTGTAATTTGGTATTAATACAGCGTTGCTATTGTCTGTTGCTGAGGTTCTAAAACGTTTATGTTCCCTCAGTCATCGAATTGGAAAGTGAAAAAAAAAACGCTCCAGAACCACATACTGCAGCGCGGCGATTAAGCTTTAGAAAATGTCAAGGAAAAATAGTCATTTCTCCATTATATTTACTTCCTAGTATGTAAACTGTTCAAGCATCGCCGAGCCTAGTGTGGCTCTAGTCATTGCTTAGTAATGGCCAACGCTGCAGCGGGATGTCCTGGGTGGTGTAACTGCATGTCATACCTGCCTCTAACCTGTGAGTATGCAAGTCAGAGAACACAGGCACTTGGGCCCTGGCTTCCATACGGTGTCGAATTTTCTGTACTAATCCTGTCCTAACTGTCCTACAAAATCCTAAAATACGTCGTGAATTACTGGAATAGATTGCAAATGTATCCTAAAAAGGTTCTAAATCCGGAAAAACATTGCAATCCTAATACTGTCCAAAATTAAAAACCGGAAATTTAGGACATATCCTAAAACCTATTTTGAGTCGAACTTGGGATTGAGGTTTTTAAAAGTTAACGGGAACCAATCATGCAGAAACACATAGCTGTTTTAATTTTTATTGTCACTTGACAACTTTGTCCATGGAGCACAAGAACTACCGCTTCTGCAAGAAGCGCACCGTCCCGGAGACAGGAACAACCTATTTCAGCTGCGTGAAGTTCCGGACTGGGTGTCCAGCACGTCTTGTAGTCAAGAAGGGGGGCACTATCATCGAAAAAAAATTTCACCGCTGCGACCAAGAAATGTTAGAAGAAGTCGCAGACGTACGCCACGACATGTCTTTGGAGCTGCAAGATCGCGCCATTAAAGACTTCGCTGTTGCACCTGGTGTTCTGTGGCAGCGCGTCTTTGACAGTTTCCGTACCAAGCATCACCCGTCAACTATCTACGGTATTGCGCGTCCGAGTGGTGTTACGATCATCAAAAACGTACGCCAAGGTGCGACCGGTGGCGACATTTTCCGTGCAATTGAGGCTGCACTGGTGCGAAGCATTAGCGACTCAGACCCGCGCCCGTTCCTACAATTTAGCATGGCTCGCCCCACCACCGCCGGCATACAGCGTATGCTCTGCTTTGGGCATCCGGACTTACTACGGATTCTACGGTACCCTCAGCTGACCCTTTTTATTGATGGTACCTTTTCGGTGGTACCAAAAGGTTTCTCGCAGTGCCTGATTGCTATGGTCTACGATCCTAGTGTCGACGTATACGTGCCACTACTCTACGTACTCGTCAATTCGAAAAGCAAGAAACGTATTGGCGAGTACTAGAGCAGCTCATCATGGCGTCCGACCGCCAGCTGAAGCCTCGTGATGTTACCTGTGACTTTGAGCTTGCGCTCATTAACGCTGTGATTGAGCAGTTCCCTGCAGCCAACATTGTTGGCTGCCTCTTCCACTGGAAGCAGGCTCTACGTAGGAAGATGATAAAACTGAAGATTCCCAAGGAACAGATCGCAGACGCCATGAAGTCGGGAAAACTGGACGTGCTTACTGTCATTCCTGCCGAAGAAGTGCTGGACAAGGTACGAAATTTTTGTATTTTACTTAAGGAAAATATTACTAAAAAAAATTAATTTTTTTTGGCAGGGACTACGGTATGTTCGAAGCATCATCGATGAGACCGCAGCAAAGACTAAATGGAACGCTTTCTGGAAGTATTTTGTGCGAACGTGGACAAAGAGGTTCGACACGTCGCTGTGGAACGTGAGCCAGATGCGGCGCAACAATGTGAGCATGATAAATCGGACTAATAACCCGCTGGAGAAGTACAATCGCGATTTTGCTGCTCGCATTGGTGCGCCACATCCAAGTATTCTCGTCTTCATTGAAGCTGCAAAGGCAGAGGCACATTCCTACATAAAACTGCTGGACGACATCAAGCATGGTCGACAGAGCGCTCCTGCTCATGCGCGGTCTGTGGACGTTGAAGTCCCCGGGGAATACATGGCGTTTGAGTAGCATTCTGCATTCTGTAAGCCATAAGATATCTCTCGTTGGCATGGGTAGTGTAGCCTTACAACTTTCGTATTTGTCCTAACTGTCCTAATTGTCCTAACTGTCCTAACGATCCTATAACCCATGCCGAAGTTTTGTGCCAATACCGTAATTTATGACAGTAGGTATTAGGACAAGTTAGGACGTTTAGGACGCTTTTAGTACGGAAAAACTTCTTCCTTCCATACTCGCAGCCAAATGCTGAACGTCTCGGAAACTGCAGTATTGAATGCATGCCGTTATAGTGAATATATTGTCAAAACCGACCAAAATGCCCATCATAGGGATATTTAAATATGTGCCAAAAGCATTAAAAAAAATGGACTCACGTTTCATGTAAAACGGAGTAAAATTCCGTACTTAATCTAATTCCTCCTTTCAATTTCACAATATATATCGACTCGCCGTCATTCGGCATTCTTCTCTCTCGAGCTCAAGTCCAAGACGGCCATGTACTCGGTAGACTTCAAGTGACGCACAGTTACGCTAACACTACGCTTACGTAGGGCCATATGAGGTGGTAGGGCGTCTCCTCGGAGTTTCGGGTCGAGCGGTGAGGAGGTGGTATGCCCAGTTTGAGGAGACCGGCCAAGGAGATAGAGAGTCGGCCAGTGTATCCTGCTGACATCGTAGCTTATGTCGCATCGTATGCGAAGGATAACCCCTGCTTCTAAGCTGAGGAACTTCTTGCAGAGGTGAAGCGGCGGTTTCTGAGCAGCGCCGAGGCCTCTCTGCTACGTGCGTCCTTCGGTAACTCCGGTTTGAGGTGAAGCTATCGCGTAAGATGCTTGAGGGAGGCTGTACCTTTTAACACATATCTGGCAAAGTTACAATGCTTCTACAGCTCCCGGAGCAGTTGCTCTTCTTCGACGAGACCTCGATAAACAGGATGGACTCAATGAGGCTCTACGCATGGGCAAAGCGAGGTGAGAGAGGTGTTATAAGGGTGCTGTTTACACAACGCAAGCGTGTATTTATCTTGGCGGCATGTCATGTGCGCAGGGAGGGGTGGGTGGGAGGAAGATTTTATCGAGCGTAGCGAGACAAATTTCAGATTTAATGCATTGTTTCCACCTAAATCGAATGTGATGGAGCGCTTATCATTGGCGTGGTCAAGGTCCTCGACGTCTTCGTCTGGCTCCTGTGGAGGCACGAAGGAGGAAAAGACTCCGCTCGACAATAGGTTGTAGTTGGGCAACTGCATAGCTCATGTTAAAAGTGATTTGAGTCTCTCGCGACCCTTGATTCCGTACATTGCCTCTTTAACCTTCTCTTCAGCCAGCATAACGTCGAGATGCTTAGCTTGAGCGAAGGTAGCAGTGTCTTAAGGTTAGCACCCTCTGGCTGGCAGGCATGGAAGATCGACCAGTGGGTTCTGGCAATCTCTCCAACTTGGAGCTCTCTGTGCCACGTACCCATCGATACTAGCTGTATCTTATGAATTCTTGATGCAGTTGCACGCCGGGTCCCTGGGAGCGTGCGGCGCTCCTTCTTCGCAGGGAGCACAAACACTTCAATTTCAATGAGGCCGGAGTCCTTTGCGCGCTTCTGGTAGTTAGAATACACTAAAGGAGCAAGTGGTGCAAACGTGTCTGCTGTTAGTGCAACCCAATCTCGCTGGCGTGCAGTCTGACTTGGTTGAATGTAGAGGCTAATGTCAGGCCTGATAGGCTTTTTCGGGTAAGCTCGCAAACTCTCTACTGCCCTCTCTTCAACCTTACTGTAGAAACTATCGTAGCTATCGCTTTCGTTATCAAAGGAGAAAACGGGGTCCCTCACTTGCACTTCTGTTCTGCTGGACTTTGTGATCTCCTATTTTGATTCTTAAACGGACTGGGGTCGGCATAGCTGAGTGCTTCGACGAACGCCGCTGTCGTAGTGGGCATTCTTCCCTCAACACGGGTAAAGCACCTGCTACTTTAAATAAGTGGTGTTATTTCAGGAAAAATCGAAGTATGCTGAGGTTATTTTGAGTATGCAAACCAATTTAGCTATTTTCAGGTTGATCAATCGACGTATAAATCGGCTGATTTAGAAACTATATAGGGAGAGCAGCCGGTTCTTACAATACATTTAGTTGGATAGAAATGCAAGTGCCATAAAATACAGAAAAATAAGCAGTGTAGACAGCATATGCACGAATGAGAATCGGAAATAAGCAGAAGCAGTGAGAAGCCCTTGTGCTCTATCTACTAGAGAGACATGGAAGGCATGCATGTTAGGGACAGCAAAAATTGTTATTAAATACACCTTCTATCCCGCACATCGATCCAACACCTACAAAGCTTCCTACAAGACCTACACTCTCGGCAACGTTAGCTTCTACCAACACTCTCACTCGACCGCACAACAGGGCTAGCGCTAGTAGCCGTAGTTGTACATGTAAAACTGGTCAGTGTAGCACCCGACGTTGCACTGGGTGCCGTAGCGGCAATGAGAGCTGTAAGACAAGCTTTGGAGATGGATGTTGGTGCCACACTATGAACTTAGAGCGGTTATAGATAAGTGGAGCTTGGCCTCAACAATCTGGTCGTCGCACGGCAATCGCGCTATTGGAAGCAAGTACCTCGAGAATAATTCGCTCCACCAGCATACTCGCAAATCTACAAGCTCGTTTATACCCTCGGTTGGGCTAGAAAGGCAGCTGTGTAGCACACCAAGCGCCAGCGATAACATCTACGATCAGGCAATATCTCCAAGGCATCATGATGGACGACATTCAGGAGCTGGAACAGACATGGCGCCGGATTGTATGGATTATGAACACGGCCTGCAGTACATCCATATTAATGCAGCGTAATCGTATCATTCATAAATAATATATAAATTCAGTAAAACTTCGGCGAGCAAACCTCGATCAACGCTTTGCGACAATTAGAGGTGCTGGCAAAGCGAGAGCGACGCCATCTGCAAGCCGATCTTAGGGGTATGTACTTACCGCTCTGTATTGAGCTGTTATACTATCCTCCAAGAGAATTATCCGCTTCCAGGAGAGGCTTACAGCAGTCGCCGGGTTTCACAGGGGCACCGGCACTATTACGCAGGCTTGTGACACACCATACATCTCTTAACTTCACTAAATAGACTAGTCCGTCTGTCTCTCACTGTTTTAGTTGTTCCGAAAAGATTCAGGGGAAGCTTGATTTGGTTTTATGTGTATATTTCACTCATCAAGTGCGCAAAGTATCGGGCTGTCCATGCACTTGGTACGCTCAAGAAGTCGTCGTCCCCCGCTCGATCTTAGCCTTCGATATGTGCGTTAGCTTTAAAGTCGCTGCCACCGCATACGTAAATGCGTGGTAAAGTGTTTTCTAAAATATTTTGACTGATTAGTGATATGTGCGTTCGCTTTATAGTCGCTGCCACCGCATACGTAAATACGTGGTAAAGTGTTTCCTCATATATTTTGACTGATTAGTGACGGTGGATATGGGATTCAAGAGTAATATCAAGTGGATCTGGACTATGTGAAGTTGATCCGAATGCAAGATTGCCACGATGGAGCTGTGAATGACGCGGACAGCGTGAAGCAAAACGGTAGGTTGGCAATCCGGGGGTGGGCTACCTGGATCCAGACCCTATATGTGTTTGCTGGAGATACCTTGGATAGGAGACTATAGACGATAGATCTTAGGAATATCAGCTGCTGAGACTATGAAAAGTGGTAAAAGAAACTTGGATTGTAGCAGGGTGACTAAGATCTGCCAAGCGGAGGCCCAGATCCACCCCCGCCCAGTACGCCTATACTGGTGATTGGGGCCCACGATCGAGGAGATCCAAAGGAGTAAGACCTACCGTCCCCGCCTGAAGGAGACTCTGGCATGATTGGCGGACGGGAAGGGGAAATCCACCACTATGCATACCAGATCCAGCTGTACCCGTGTCCAGATCCAACGAATCGAGGATCCCATACCAGGTGACTGGGATTGGTGATATAAGCGTGGCGAATCCTATGGATCTGAGCACCGGCAACGGCAGAATCTCATAACGTGATGTTGCAAGAACGGAGAGATCAAATCCACCGTGTTGGAGTGCAATATTATATTCGCGGGAGGGTCGAATGAAGTCAGTTGGAGTGAGGGTAATAAATCCATCATCTGGCAACCCTACAACGATTATGGCACAGGTCCTAGGAATTTGGTACTGATACAGCTCAGGAAATGATCTAAGGAGAGAAAGAGCGAGCCGCCGAGCCTGGTAACGTATTTAGTAAGTAAAGGACATAGGGGAAAGGGACCCAGGCAGGTATAGGTTTAGCTGTGACGTGTTAGTATTGTACTATACAAGTGCCTTCCTGCCTCCAGAATTGGAATTCTTTGACCGTACAAGCTGGGCGAAGGTTAAGAATAGCAGATCTAGCGTTGGTAGTGAAAACAGGATAAGATATTGGCCACATCCTACAACCTAGTGTGGCTTCTTTTTACGTGCAAATCCCTTAAGTTATTTGAATTTATTACTTGTGCGGCCATACTTACCGGCTCTCAGCTCTCAAGACCCCGCTATTGGAGGCGTCACGTACGACGAATAGGAATATTTTGACTGGAGAACACACCCGCAAGGCAATCCTACGACCAGGTCACCGATCTAGGCCCCGATCCACCAAGCGAGGATTCGGACTTTGAAAATCGGAAATACAATCAGATGCAGAGTTAAGTCCTTACCCCACCTGCCCCAAACTATCCCCACGTCTCGCCAAGACACGCAAGCTTCACCGCTTGAACGCTTCGGGAGCTACCGAGAGAGCAAGACCCCGCCGTACCGACGGGTACACAAGGTGAGGAAAGGTCAGTAAATCACGGATCAACGTGTTATTAGATCAGCGGATAAAATTGGCTATCTAAAAAGAATCTACGAATTTCCGATACACTCGAAGCAGCACAAACAAAATCCTTGCTGATACAGAAGCGTTATTGCGCAAGGATAACCGCGACTTCTAGCGACGCATTAAAATGGCAGTTAAATGCCCTGTGCAGCGGAGTATCGCTCGCTTCGACGGAGCCAAATTGCGAGAGCCTTCCGGACTGTGAGCTTGAATTATTGTGGAGAGAGTTGGTGTCGGACCCGACTGGAACGAACCAGGCCGAGGCAGTGAAGCAGACGCCGTCGTGAATAGAAAAGACCGTAAATTGGACAGCAGCTGTAAACCAACAATACGTCAAGCCAAAAGAGCAGAATGCTGTCTTAAAAGGGCTTGTGGGACGCAATAGGGAAGGACAACCCATGCGAAATGGGTAACTTGGTCAGCATGTTAGCGTTTGCAAATGGTTTGAGGACTTAGGAGAGAAGGCGTATTCTTCGATCGCAAAACGTACCGGTGTGTGGTTGGGACGAAGTTCACCATCTGATTTCGAGGAAGGTGTTTTCTCGACCGGGTCTTTGGAATTAGCTTGCTCCATACACGCACCGGCAACGACAGCCTGTATTGCGGTACAATTAAGCAGGAATTTAGCAGATTGAGGCGAGCCAACATGGGCTATGGTCAACGCATCGGAGAGGCACTATTAGTAGCCTAATTGTAAGTATACTTAGTTTTAGGACTCAGCTTCGACTGCTAAATTGTACTGGGATTTTTTTTATTACAGTCCTAACGGCTCAAAATCCAACTAACGTTACTACCGATCTCCGGATGTAGGTACCGCGCTTGGCAAATACAAGAGTAAATTCGGCTTGAATTTGTACAAAACAGAACTGCATGTTTTCTTTAGCGCACTCCTTTTTCCTGATGGCGTTATGGGTTAATATGTAAGCTCATCGCAAGGCAACAACAGACCAGTTTGCAAGAGCAGTTTTGCAAAAGATTTGCATTTCCTATTATGAAATGTATAACGTAGTACACACTTTAATCAAGATAAGTTTGTAACACAATGCATATTGCCTCGTTGTACGGCCTTGTCCAATAAAACAAAAATGATTTTTTTGTAAAACGCCAAGTGCCCAATTGGATAAAATATATAAACTATTTTTGATTGAGTAAATGACAAAACGAAGGTACAAAAGGGTTAATAGTCAAACATTTTACCGTACGAAACATGCTCTGTTTTCAATTAATCGTTTTCTCTTATTATGGCCATGCGATCGAGGACATGCGATCACGGACAGTCACGCGCCAACCACCAATAATGTGTGTCATTTAACAATACAATTCGTTGCAATAGTTCAGCGCCGTACCAACCGCGACGCACAACTGTTCGCCTATGGAAACACAGGAGCCACTGTTGGACAGCAATGAGAACTGTAGAGAGCTGTTTCGAGAGTTTGACAAGGACAAGAAAGGTGTATTATCCAGAGAAGGGGTCCGATCGTTTATCCACGAGAAGTTCGTAGCGAAGGGGATCGAATGCCTAGGGGAGTTCGACTATGACATTGTCGTCGACAAGGTTTTCCATCGACGCCGCCAAGAGGACAGGATGACGTACAGCGAGTTTGAAACCGACTTCGCACCAGAAGATATCATCAAAGAGTAGTTGGCAAGACCAAGATCGAAGCGAAAGAGACGAAGCAACTGAAAAAGCGCGGGCACACGAAAGCGGGTCATCAGTGGCATCGACTTCGGAAGTATTGTCGTAAGTACACCGTTGAAATATTCTGGCTAACGCTGTACTTTCAGTTGATGGTGGCGGTTTTCGTTGCCAAGGCATCTCAGTTTGCCGAGGATCCTGCTGTCGGTCACTGCATACGAGTCGCCAAGGGCTTCACACAGATCTGCCTCGTGAACACTGTACTCGTGCTATTGCCAATGTGTCGGAACCTCGTCACGGGTCTCCGTGCACTTCCGATTGTCACGAGTTATCTCCCCGTTGACCAACACATTGAGTTTCACAAAATTTGCGGCATTGTGCTGCTACTGTCAGCGCTGGGACACACTGCTGCCTGGATTGCTATCATCATTTACGCACGTGGAGCACCAGAGTCGGTCTGGGAGAAGTCGGTATGCCACCACCTCACATTAGTTTGGGAAGACAATTGGCTCAACTTGACGTTACGAGTTCCAATGTGGACGGGGATAGTCATGTCATTGTGTGCTGCCATTGCTGCTACGATGTGTATCCGCAAGATTCGCCAAGGAAACTTCAATTTCTTTTGGCTCTCCCATATGTTGTTCATCCCGTTTGTCGTCTTGATGGCATTCCACGGCTTCGCCAGCTGGGTAGCTACTCCACAAGCTCAGTACTGGGTCTTACCTCCACTGCTCATTTACCTAATTGAGAAACGTTATCGAATGGGATACGTATTTGGTGGCAAAACTACGATCACCGAGGTACAATAATTTGAACAAACGGTGGCAATCTTCATGAAGAAACCCCAATGTTTCTACCGGAGACAGCGCTTCTTACCGGGAATGTACGTGTTTGTCAACGTACCTGCAATTTCCCGGTTTGAGTGGCATCCTTTCACAGTTTCTTCCGCCCCAGAAGATAAATTCCTTACGCTTCACATTGAAAAAAACGGCGACTGGACGGGTGCACTTCACGATTATTTGACAAAGCTGACTACGCACGATGAATCTTCTGGTCTAGAAGGCTTGCGATATGGAGCTCTCGTATCGTACCCGACGATCTATGTCGACGGGCCATTTGGCTCCCAGCGCAAGACTACGCAAGATACCGCGAAGTCGTCCTCGTTGCTGGCGGTATTGGTGTTACCCCGTTTGCCTCGATCTTGAAAAATATTCTTCATCAGTGGGAAAGCTACCGGTGTGGATACTGCAGAAACATTCGCTTCCCGCCCACCTTCCACCTACAAAAGATTTACTTTTATTGGGTCACTCGTAGCCAGAGATCACTCACTTGGTTCGCCAATACCATGAACCAGTTGAGTGAGATGGATACGGAGAATCGACTCGAGATCCACACCTTCTACACCGCAAAGAGTCTTGACGACGTCATCGGCCCATTACAAGCGCTACAGACTTTCATCCACGCCACCGAGGGCCAAGATATCGTGTCTGGCCTACAAACGAAGCAGAAGACGCACTTCGGAAGTCCAGACTGGAGCGCCGAGCTTTCGCGGGTAGCTCGGAATCATACGCGACTGGAGTCGCAGGACGAAATATCCGAAGAGATCGGAGTATTTTTCTGCGGACCTAAGAAAATGGGCCGCGAGATCCACGATCACTGCGTGTTGCTAAATCTTGCTAGGGAGAATCAGGTGTCCGATGTGCAGTTTGATTATCACAGTGAGTAGTTCTAAAGCTGATCAAAAAGGAATGCTTGCGCTTTAATAAAACAATTCTAAGAAACTCAACGAATACAGATATTATCTTATACAAAGTCGTGCTGTGCCCGAAGAAGCTCTGAAAATTATTTAAGCTGCGCTGTGAGCTGCACGCCTTTAAGAATTCATTAAAGTTACGTACGAGCAAGCAGCCTTAACGCAAAAAGAGAGAGAAGAAGTGTCTAACCCTGATCCTACCACAGAAGCTCAGTGCTTTTACTCACACATTGTACTAGCAAATTAAGCACTATTTGAACCTTCAAAGATTGGTAGTAAGTACCGCCGACGCATCTCCTGCGCTTGCTTCGGAGGCACAGCATCTGCTATACACAAGCTGCGCTTCGAACTCCACGCACACTTTGTAGAGTACTATAAGCTACGTATTAACAAACCTAACGGCCCTTCCCTAAATACTGTATCAGCTGCCACTTTGTTCCCATTTTCCCAATGTAAGTTCATATTCCAGTTCTGTATCCAAATGTGTGCGCCGAAACCAGTGAATCACCACATACGTATTGTACTGGCGAGATGAAATGCACCACCATTTTTTTGTTTTGCCCATAAATACAAAAGTAATTATCGAATTAATGCCGGCAGACCCGCAATGGAAACAGGGTAGCACAGAGATCACAGACAAACACACATTGTTTGACTTTCTTGTCTTTTTTTAAAATGGTGGAAGCTCAAACGTCTGCGGGAAATTGATGCTGATCATGCATGCAGAACATTTCTTGCGATATTTAATAAACAAAGAAGCCTAAGGTGACAAGCTTTACGCCAGAATGCAGCTTGGAATGCAACGCATCTGCAGAAGTTGGTTTTAGCTACAGGAGCAGCTTAGGGATTGCTGCATGCAGTGTTAAACGCATCGCCGACAGCCCCACTTCCTAGGATCAAATGTGCATAGAAATGAGTAAAAAGGGCATTGTTGATTGTAATACTAAAGTTTGTAAGGACCAAAACATCTGATGCCAAACATAGCCTCGATTTTTTGGGCGGAACAAAAGACACGCACTTTTCGATTAAGTGTAGCATGTGCATTTGAGCAGATATTCAAGGATGATAATGACTACTTAAGAGAAGAAATCGTTATCTTCCCAACAAAAAAAAGCTCATATAAATTGGGTAATTGGGTGAGAAGTTGTGAAGGGGCAATGTTTGGTGTTGCATTTCATCTCGCCAGTACAATAGTTGCTGACACCATATTTTGTGTCGACACTGATTGATAGCTTTTTTTACATGAACATCATTAGTCAACGTCTATAATACGTGACTTTTTTGCAGCAATTTGTAATACTATTAGGACCCAGCCCGGACAACGCAGGCAGCATTCTAATACCGTATTCCTTATGTGATTGGCGACAGTCAAATTCTTGAGGTGGTCCAGCCTTTCTGCCAGCATAAAAGATACCTGCATAAAAAAAACTATATAACATGCTCAAAATTATATTGGTCGCCAAGCACATAAAGCGCGACGACACGAAATTTGAATCAATTTGATTGGCTGCTGGATTTGTCGCTAATGACCGAGCGTCGCCAATCACATACGGAATACGGTAGTCTATCATTTTCACTCAGACATTAAGATCCATGGACTCGCAATATCGAAGTTTATATGATGATTTCTCTTTTCTGCTGGCACATCAGCATCGTTTTAGACAGGAATTTAGGAATCCACACAAAAAACTTATAAATTTACGAGAGCAAAACTCTCCACTTTATCCGTTGACAAACGGCAAAGATCTGTAACTCACGAAAGCGCCCCCCCCTCCAGAAAAACATTTCGTCGTTCGCTCCTGCGCGTCCTTATAAATATCAAGACTTGAAGTTCAAGTTGATTGAAAGCCAAGTGCTACTGTTTTTTCGCCAACCACCAGATGAAATGCCACGATCGACTCTTCACTACGTCCACTGCATGCAAGATCGCAAGAAATCATAACCAACAGCGCCATGAACCCAAAAGGCTCGACGGCTAAACATTCACTTGTTACGACGCTTACCTCCAGAAGGTCGTGGAGCGCCCTCTCAGCACAAGATCGCACAGCCTACCTACGATGTGCACCGTGTGCAGTGCGAATCTTCGTACAGTAAGTAAGACTGCGGTTATCAATGGATGCAATGAAAGATTCATGGAATGGAAGTTCGCCTCTCCTTCCTCATTCCCAAAACTGCGCGCATCCGAAGACCCTCTCCAGCACGTTGTAATGAAGACGTTGCTCGGTCTACTCCTGCTAAGGTGCACCTTGACACCCAGTGTCGTCATCGGCCATGGCTACATCGTTAGCCCAGAAATAGCGTGAATGGTCAATCCGTTTTACGACAAAAACGCCCCAGCAGCATTTTACGACGCCAGCTCCTCCTTCGGCTCGACCTTTACCCCAATCTTCGGTACATTATCGACCGCGACACCCCGTACACGAACATTCCTGTGATTGCAGCGAACGCGAACAAGAAGTGCGGGATGACCAGCTCCACTGGCCCGACCCGCTCCATCTCGGGGAATCTAAGGTTCGATGTGGACCCTGCAGCACTTCACGAGGTATGCGAAGTTTTGTTGTAGCCCAAGTATTATGTGAAATTATCCAAATTATTGTGATAAAGGGTCCGTGCGAGGTGTGGGTGGACGATGTCCGGACGTTGGTGGCGAGATCATGCAGGAGTAAGTATCAACGGTTCTCAACAACAAAAACTCGTAATAACCACTAAAAAAAACAAATGTATCCTGATGGATCAACAATAGCCACCTACACCGGGAGGCCTTGGAATATCCCAGTAGACATGTCCAAGTGCACTCGCTCCACGTGCGTGGTTCAGTTCATCTGGATCGGCACACACAGCCCCACCTACGAGGTTTTCAGTAAGTTTTGAGCATTTGTTGTTCTACTGTAACGTTAGATCAGCTTACAAAAACTATTGCACAGAGAATTGTTTCGCTGTTGCAGGTGGGGCTGTCCAACCACCGACTACCACCCAACCACAGACTACCACCCAAACACCGACTACCACCCAACCACCGACTACCTTACGACCGCCAACTACCACCCAACCTTCGACGACATGCACCAACGTCGCCGCGAGTGGGGGCGCCTGTGGTGCGTCTAACGGAGGCAAATACTGCCCCGGCACACAGTGTTGTAGCCAGTATGGGTACTGCGGCGTGGGTACTGCTTGGTGCAGCTCAAACCCAAATTCTATCTACAACGGTGGCGGGAGTTGTGGTGGCACTGGAGGTGTCGTCTGTACCAAAGTGGCTCCCAATGGAGGAAGTTGTGGCGCTAGCAACGGCGGCGCGTACTGCCCCGGCACACAGTGCTGCAGCCAACACGGCTACTGCGGCGTGGGTTCGCCATGGTGCGACAGCAACCCCAACTCGATCTACAACGGGGGGAGGTGCACCGTTGCGCTTCTTCTCGCCCAGGAAACAAACGCGACGAAGAAGAAGATCAAAGCGATCTGGTGGACGAAGTAGATCAAGTCCAACTGGCCGCTCAAGTGTCTGACGTCTCTACCGCCGTTCTTGCCAATGGGGCGTTGTCACTGGACATGATCATCACTCGTCGCATCTTCGATAAAATCTTCCCCGAGACCGAAGGCTCCGTCTTCAAGTTCGCGCAAACACCGACCGCTGACATCAACGTGCTGGAGGTCGCGTACTTCCTGGCTCATGTGGCCTACACGACCGAGGACCTGGCCTACTCAGCCGAGAGAGATGGCACCATGTACGACAACAACAAGTACTGCCAGAGCTCGTCGGCGTATAAGTGCGCGTCTGGTGCCAGTTACTACGGCCGTGGTCCTCTTTTCTTACGCTACAACTTCAATTACTACGAATGCGGTAACGCAATTGGGGCGACAAACCGGATCTCGCCCTGGAGTCGCCTACAACCGCGTGGAAGACTGCGCTCTGGATGTGGTTCAACTTGGGCATCCATGAGCTGTCGACGCTGCCGAACGCGTTTGCCCTGTCGACTACCAAGCTCGTGGGTGACGACGAGTGCGGTAGCTCCTCAACGGCTGTAGCCGCGAACGCCGCACGCGTCGCCAAGTTCAAGGCGGTTGCCAAGATCCTGAATGCTAAAGGTGTCAGCAAGCTCACGCTCTCGTGCGCTGATGGAGCTTTGGCGCTGGTTGCTGCGGAGGAAACGGAATCGACACAACTCGTGGCCAACGAACGCTTGATTGCCGAGGATGATGCGACGCACGCCACGTATGCTGCGAGTTACGCAAACGTGGCCGTGGTGGGCGTTGCCATGACCGCAATGGTGATAATCGCCGTAATTAAGCGTACTGCACGTGCCGCCCCCAGTATCGAGAATGGCGACTATGCCTTGCTGACCACGTTCGAGTAATTATCGAACGTGCGCCGTTACGCGAATGATCGGTGCAACCAAGTCAAGTGCAAAAAATCTTGTTTACTCTTTGATCGTTCGGACAAAACAAAGGACTGCGCTGGACAATCGCAAAATCGACTTTTGTCAGCACTTCGACTCGGTCAAAGCTTTAATAATCGATGAGATGGATGAATATGATATCGGACCATATTTAAATTTTGTAAGGTTATATACCTGCCAGCTAAAATCACCAGCCAATCACAGTAATCCAAATCATGCTTTTAACCAATCGGATGTAGGCGAGTCATCTAAGCCACCCACTTCGCAACGTGCCCTTTGCTCGCTGTTGCTCTCGTTTCTCCGTCCAAGCTACACCGTGCCAAGCTATCATCGGAAATCTGTCCGAATAAATGCATCAAACGCCGATACACTATCACTTGACGTGCCGCCCGTGGTGCTCTAAACGCACCACCGGCGACCTCTGGTCTTGCTACGCCTGCTCTCCTCGTACTGCTGCGGCCTCGACAATCTACCCACATGCCAACCGTGTGCTTGATCGTGTCGGCCCTGCCACCGGTGTATCAGCTGCTCTCACGTTGCACTACTTCCGTCGTGGTGGGGCCAAACATGCCAACGGTTGCGAGAAGATGACCGTGCATTGGATCTTCGATGGCGGGTCTTGGAGCCTAAGCACCACAAACAAAGGGTCCAGCTACATTTTCAACACAAGTAGAGAAGACCACATGATTGCCAAGGTATTGAGTGGATACAAACCCGAAAACGTTGTCCCTCTCCAAGACAAGTCCGGCTATGACGCCGAAACGCTTGACGCGATTGCCGAGTTTCAACGAGTCTTCGCAGTTGCTATCAATTGAAGACGGAGAGCCTTAACATCAACCGAAAGGTTCTGGACGTCAATACCGCTTGCGTCGTTAGGCGCTATCCCGTCGTAAAGGGCTTGAATCTCAACAGTCCAGCGGTGCAGCGACTCGAAACCTGTGTTACGCAGGCTGGACGTACACTACCGGACATCTTAGCCAGGCCGACACATCTTGCAGGAGCGCAGCATTCCCTTAAAGACAACACAGAATCATCCACCCAGCCATCCAAACCAATCGATCAAAGCCACGAACAGACAATCATCGTCCACCAGGCCGCTGCCATCAAACACCTTTTCAAGAATTCTAAGCGCCAAGACGCTCGCATGGATATGTTTGAGACAAAGCTGAACGGTGACCCTGTAGCTGAAACGCGAAAAAAAAACATTCAAGATGAAGATGCCACAAATGTGAGCAAACCCAAGCAAAAACGGCGTAGAGGATCAGCTACCTACCTTCATGTGACTTGCTTTACCTGGTCCGCGCAAGAGGAACGCTGGTACGTCGAAGTATCGAAGCAGCAGCGCTCGAAGGCCAAGCTGCTAGTCGCGTACATGAAGCTGTTTCTCGACGACGGCTTCGTGTTCAGCCAAACGTCAGCGGACTACCACGATCGAGTTCTGGAGCCGGGGAAGCGCGCCGATAATGCCATACTTACGTACTTGAAGACAAACACAGCTTTAAATCTCGCGGAGCGAGCGCGGCCCTCCAGCACCCCCAAGGGGCCCACAGCGCTAACGTGCTGAATGCCAAGATACAGCGCCACCGTCAACTGATCCAGACAGATGCAATCTTAGACCCGTCTCCTGACTACACGCAGGACGTTCTTGAGGAGGTTAGTAAGTACGACAAACAAACTAGCTTCGAATGCATTCACCCTTCCTCACAGCATAAAGTCATGTCGACCTCAACACACGTATGTCGTCACCTTTATTTCTGATCTGAGCTGTCCACGAACCTTGATCTTCGCCACAAGGCCTCTAACCCAAGCATAAGAAATAACGATGGCCCGATTTGAACAGGCATCCTCAAGGCCGAAACCTTGCGCTGTCACCGTTGAGCTTCACCGCTGAAAGGGGTCAGAGGCGACCCAGAGGCTTGGAAGACCGTGCCGCCCGTACTAGAGATCAGCGTAGTAGCGTTGAAAAGTAAGACTGACTGCCAAGGTGAGCTGTCGGCGGTAAATTGACTGAAATTGAGAGGCTGCAAACCATTCGATAAGTGGCACGTTTTACAAGCAGATAGTTAGCAAATAAACATTAGTGACTCTGATAACTGGCTGTCGTCATCCTTTATGTACTGAACAGATACAAAATTATCCGGACGATCGTGGCGATTCTGCCTCATTGTCAAATTTGCTAGCATGAGCACGTGACTCTCATGTCCAAAAATGCATAGAAATGCAAAATATTGATTTTCTCAGCCCAGAGGGCGTTTCAGGCCATTTCCTGCCGTCTATAAATCAGTATGTTTGGTCACTCTTTGGCCTTTTGCATCATTTCACATCAGGCATATCCTCCCCTTAACCTCGTACCTATCTAAGATAAACTGTGTACAATACATAGATGCGATTTGGTCATACGGTGATAAATTTTGATATGGGTCGTAAGTGCAAGTGATGTATCTTAAAGCTCCGTCCGCTAGGCCCACGAGGTCTTAAAGCTCGGCAGCATACGCATCATTTGAATTTTTCTCTCGCCATATTATGACGTTTTGTATTTTATATAACGGATGCGCCCGAATAAAAGCCCCCTACCGAATAGTGTCCTGTGGGGTGCTACATGCCTGCACAATTAAATACAAGCCTCTCCCAAATAGAGTCCTTATAAAGGCTACCAAATCTGCTATTACAAGCTTGCTGACCATCCATTCTACAGAGAGAAACACTTTTCCGTCATTTCCAATAATGCCTCATCAAAGGCAGTCGGTTAGCAGTGAGCGTAAGCAAGAGGCGATCAAGTGGACTAAATATGTCGTTTTCATGACCTACTGTACAGGGAAATAACGCTTGGAAAGAGTCAGACCGAGTCGAATGCACTCGCTTTGGTAGCCCACGTATGCCAAGTGTTGACACCGCTTGCGATTGGGGCCTCCGCGCGTGGCGAGACACGGATGAGGCAACAATCATGCGGAGCGCTGAAATAGCAGGCGTCTCGAGAGACCTCTCGTCGTGGTTTATATCCAAGCACGATGTGTATGGCGCTAAATTTCGTGAAAAGTGGTCGAAATAACCGCAAATCGACGAAGACGTCGATCTGTTAAATTCTTTAGACATAGATGATACGTTAGACGATATTAACCTGGTACACGAATCATATCAGCAAGGAATAAAGTCCTCACCCGTTTAAAGTCCTCTCTGTCACTTTCGGGCGGCACTATTAAATATGTCCGTTAAAAGGTCTGAAGCTCTGGCACTCAGGCTAACGCAAGCTCCAAATAGGCTCGAAAATTTCCCTTCATGCTGGTTTAAGATCATGATCAGACTGGGAGCACACTGACATTGGTCGGAATTGCAACCTCTTTTGTGTTTTTGTCGAAGGCTATCCTGCGGTAATATTTGACCGCAATACCTCCACCAAAGGGCTGTCGACTATTATTGTCTAGCTTTTGTCGGATCTGGTGCGGGCAAAATCAACAACAAGGTGAGTAAAAATAACTTTTGTCGGGCTTTTCCCACAACGAGTGGGAATCCTCTTAAAGCATCCTCACAGGAATTTATGACGGGGTCTGGGTCTGGGAATAAACAAGTGAGAAAATTCTAGACTGCATCCCCTGGGTGTCGGTCTGGGAATATTGTTTGCAATCTACATACCCCGTCAAAATCGTTATCGCGGAGCGGCTGGTCGGCTACACCAGTGCATCGCGTCGCCATGAACGTAGAGACGACAGGCTTTATGAACCTTCTCCTGTCTCCAACTACAGTCTCCGCCTCATGGCGCAGAAGACCAAGTCGCTTCGGTGGAGTCTCCAGCAGAGACTGTGGTAGCAGCACCAATATCGAAGTCAAAGCGTGGCCGGCCTTCAAAGAGTGATCAGGAACTTTGGACGACGTCCTCGACGGAGGCACTATTTAGTAAGGTAAGCTATTAGTCGAACGTGTGATAGGGTACCGTCTACTACAGATTGATTTCACGACTTTGTTCAGAATGGTTTTGGCAATCAAACCAATCATAGCGCTTATATTTATTCTTACTATCATAAACTGAGCGCACATCCGGCTCGATTGCTGGATGAGGGCTAAAGACAGATAAATTCTGTCAGGTACATCACCCTACTATATGGAGGCAAACCTCTTCTGCTGTATAATACAGCAGACCAAGCGGGACTACACCATTTCAGGTTCGTTCTTCCCACCGCAGGAGTTCGATACAACCACCCCAGAGCCGACTTGCACATAGGACCGGGCAAATCTCAGCTCAAAACACCAATGCCTGAGTTCAATACACACAGGTGTCTCTTTTATATTTTTTGCCAATTACTGCGGAAGTACCAACTTTTGTCATTTCGAAACCATTCGAGAACTCAAAGGCATCCATCCATTCATCGCTTCGCCTCGCGCCCCTTTCGTTTTGGCATAATGGGTAACACTTACCCTGAAGACGTTCGTGCACGTGTCCTCGGGGCAGCGAAGGAGGGTGAGAGCTGGCGATTGGTAGCAGCTCACAACGGCGTTGTGGTGGAGACTGCGCGGGCTTGGGTGGAATGGTCTCGAATTCTCGAATGGTCTCGAAATGACAAAAGCTGGTACTTCCGCAGTAATTGGCAAAAAAAATAAAAGAGACACCTGTGTGTATTGAACTCAGGCATTGGGTGTTTTGAGCTGAGATTTGCCCGGTCCTATGTGCAAGTCGGCCCTGGGGTGGTTGTATCGAACTCCTGCGGTGGGAAGAACGAACCTGAAATGGTGTAGTCCCGCTTGGTCTGCTGTATTATACAGCAGAAGAGGTTTGCCTCCATATAGTAGGTTGATGTACCTGACAGAATTTATCTGTCTTTAGCCCTCATCCAGCAATCGAGCCGGATGTGCGCTCAGTTTATGATAGTAAGAATAAATATAAGCGCTATGATTGGTTTGATTGCCAAAACCATTCTGAACAAAGTCGTGAAATCAATCTGTAGTAGACGGTACCCTATCACACGTTCGACTAATAGCTTACCTTACTTTTCGCGCCATAACCACTGGCCTGGAGAGCCCTGAGCATTGGGGCGCTGTCTGCCGCTTTCTCCGGAAGAAACGTTTGCCCGTTTATCAATCAATGACTTGTGTAAACAACAAATGGCCAAAGTTTCCTATGTTAGATCAAAGTAAGTTACTCGTCAACTACCTCCTGCAATTTGCGCTTCTTGAATCGAATTTTCTTCCTCATGTCTGGTGGGATGATCGTGCCATTCTTCCAGGTGTCTGCCCAAGTATGGAGGCACGTTGTAGTGCTGCTTGATCCTCTCTGCGAGCTTTGTTGCAGACCCCCCCCTCCCCAAAGGTGCGCGTACATTCCTCGCAAAATCACGGGGTTTCAAAGCTACGGTGCGCTTTGTCGGAGAAGGCTGAGCAGCAGATACTGACGGACTTTGTTCTGGTAAGTTTCAGTGTTTTTTTGTCAGCACGTATGGCACTCTTGCAGCGGAGATAGACAGCAAGTCATGTACCTGCATGTTTGTCTGAAAGTGTTTCTTTTGCTGCGCCAGCAGCTCCAGTTGAAGTTGCTTCAGGTAATCTGCGTGTGTCGGCATAGGTTTGCCTTGCTCTTCCACCACTATAATGTGCACGATGAATCCATTGACGAGTGTCATGTCAACAATACCAAAACAATAGTAAAAGGATCGATGACGAAGTCCTTTCACAATTGAAAACTGATGAAGCCGCAACGGATCTTGCTTGTCCACTCCACCCATGATTTAGTTGTAGATACACTCAAGAGCTGGCCATGTGACATCCAGTGAAGTACCGTCACCTTTCCAGTTTCGATGAGCGACCACTCGCTTTCTAGTACGCCCCGTTGCCATGAAGGTGACTATCTTTGAGACTTTCCAGCAAGCTGCGACCAAATTCGGAATGCGTGGATTTTGCGCGACACGATACTCGCCACGTGTTATTGTCTTTGCACGTCGCGACTGTTTTTTTTCTTTTTCGGAAATTGAATGCGCTCACTCTAACCTTCTCGATCGACACGTGATCTTCTTACAGTGTGGATTCCCATTATTAGAAGCCGCCCTGCTAACTGCACACACGTCGGTTAATGCGGGCATGTTGCCGCGCTCCCGCTTCCTTCACCTTCAATGATCTCTTTAGTGAGTCACTTTTATTACAGTACCAGTAACCCTTCCCGCTTTCGTAGCATGTGTCAGGCCGTCTCGATAAATATCACCCAAATTGGCAATATTTAATGTTGCATCCTTCTGTGATAACGTTAGCCGAATTTGCAGCCAAACTCAAACAATTTTCGGAGGCCGAAACAGTGTTTCGGGCTGTTATCCTCAACAATAGGTGTCCTTAAAATGAGGACGAAAAAAGAAACAAGATGGTCAAATGTCGAGTGATTTTGTCCTTAAGACCTCGATTATAAGGACGAAATTCGAGCGCGGTGAGCCCAATTGCATCTGACAGATGCGACACTCAGTACCACTTTGGGACAAGACACTCTCCAGGAATGCATTCCAGACACCTTTGTCACGTACCCAGGAACGAGGGGGTTATTCCAGGCGTAATACCGCAGGCAAGGCTGACCCGAGGTCCTGACTACTCCTCGTCACGCCGTCCCGTCCGGTCGGTACCCTCTAGGCTCGGCGGCTCGCGTATCCCCGGTCGAGACCGCTAGAGTTGCCCTCTAGAGTGGTCTTGGAACGCTGGGACCTGTTCGACGTGGGACTAAGGTGCCTCGCGCAATCGAGTCCCCTTCCCAAAGCTCCCTGTTGTCCTACGAGGGCGGATGTGAGGTGAAGCGAACTCGTCCTTCGAGTGTAAAAGAAGCGGTGTCATGTATATGAGAGAAGGGAAGGCGTTAGATCTCTCTTCCATTTAGCTCTCAGTCTTATATTTCCCACCTTCTACTCAAGTGAAACCCAAGTCAAAT